CACACACACATACATACACACACACACACACACACATATATATATATATATATCTTTATCTATATATGTTTTTATTATGTTTACTCACCGTACTCACCTAAATTCACACCCACTCCACCCTCTCACAGATCCCCATTCCCTGGCTGGGCTATAAAGACCCTGTGCGCGTGTGCCTGTCATGCAATATCAAACTGGACGAGTACAAGACCGTTCGAGAGGTGGTGATTCTGAGACGCACACAGACGGTCCAGGTTTACAATGTGGTAGAGTACGGCCGACGCTACTACAGAACACTTGTCTTCACAACAGACTCTCGATATGGTCTATATACCATGCCACCCAGGTATGTGTATGTGTGTGTATGAGTATGAGAGTGAGTGTGAGAGTGAGAGTGAGTTTGAGTGTGATTGTGAGAGTGAGAGTGTGAGTATGGTTATGAGTATAAACATGTGTGTATACGCCTATCTTATAAATTGTCGGTCAATAGATATGTATATTAACATCTGTTCACGTACAGATGCGTGTGCGCGTCTATGGCTCCCTCGTACGTCGTCTCTGTATAGATGCACTTGTTCATTTATGCAGCCCCAGCCCCCGCTATGCTGATGATGAGTGTACATGACTGATTTCTATTCCGTCCATCTATTGCATGGTATAAGTGGTATATGTGGTATGTGTGGTATATGTGGTATGTGTGGTATGTGTGGTATGTGTGGTATGTGTGGTATGTGCGGTACGTGTGGTATGTGCGGTATATGTGGTATGTGTGGTATGTGTGGTATGTGTGGTATGTGTGGTATGTGGGGTATGTGTGATATGTGTGGTATGTGTGGTATGTGTGGTATGTGTGGTATGTGTGGTATGTGTGGTATGTGTGGTATGTGTGGTATGTGTAGTATGTGTGGTATGTGTAGTATGTGTGGTATGTGTGTTATATGTGGTATATATGGTTTATGTAGTATGTGTGGTATGTGTCCTACGACTATCTATATTTACACCAGAGAGTGTGCGTGCACTTGTACAATGCGTTTGAATATGCCAAACGTTTAGTACACTGGCGTTCGCTACAGATGTGAAATATGATCTGTCCATCATACGTTGGACTATGAGAACAGCTATATACGGGTGTTGTTCAGTACCAAACAGGTACTTATTGACCTACAACCTTTCTTACACTACAAGTACTTTTCTACATCCTTAACCTGCACTACAGCTACTTGACTATAACTTTACCTACACTACAAATACTTACCTGCAACTTCTCATTAGAAGCATCGGCCACACACACCTACCAATACCATTGTATTGCGCACAAATGCCACAGATATGTACTAACAACATCATATAGCGCAAGAATGCCTCAGATTAAGTCTACCAGCAATGTTTGTATTGCTTAAAATGCCACAGATACTTACCTACAACTTTTCATTGCCCACAAATGCCACAGATACATACCTACCGAACCATGGACACGTGCAGATCGACTCGCGGCATGCGAAAATGTGGAACACTTGCGTCTGCTGCAGCCATCGTCCAGTCTGGTGGTCATGCGCAACTTCGATGCGGAGACTACCAAGCATCAGGTGTGTG